TGAAACACATTGAGCTAATGGGGGTGAGGATCAGCGAGCTGATCCCCTTGCCGGATCAAATGTTTGCTGTGTGTTGACAGCTACATTCTGCCTGTGGGATCAGGATGCGTGTTTGTGTGACTAAAGGTGTAGAGACCACACCCCCCCCCCTCCGATGATATGTTCTTCAATGGAGGGGTTAACAGGTTTGACCCTGACCTGCACCCACCCCCTCCTCCATCCCCACCCTCAAGTCAAAGACAGAATAGTGGGGCTGACACTACATTAGGTACATCTGGACAATGTAATGAGATTCAAGAGGGACAACGATGTTCAATGTGGAACGTGGTGGCATCTGGGTTTCTAATAGTTTGCATTTTCCAGCTACCAAGAGACAACACTCAACATATTGTTAAACGGATACTGACGATCAAAACCCCAAATCGTCGTCCATGTCAAGAGCACCTGTTTTATAGGATGTCACTAACTGATCTGTTGAGATTTTTGTGCATGTCGACAATCCCACTCACTGTAAAATTTGAGTGTATTAGAACTCTGCTTTGGATCATGACATTATCACTGTCAATCACATGATATATACCTTTGCATTAAATGTACAAATATTACTGGAGCAGTAATTGAACCGTGTTTATAACTTAGAACATACCAACATTCAAGTGCGACAATGATTTTATGTCTCATCAGTTTTGTGGTGTAAACTAAAGAGAGACTTACGATGTCATTGAGCATCAATGCATTTTTAGAATGTCACGTCGGCACCTCATCTGGATATGAACTGTGACAGTAGTGCCTATGGAGGAAAAAAAACAGCCAATTAGGTCAACTGAAAATAGCATACAAACCACACCAGTCATGTTTCAGGCATCTTTAAAGTGCAAAATGTTTCTGATGCAGGTTATATAGAATCAACAAGGACCCCAAAAAATATTTTACAGCACAGCAAGCCCCATGAGCTTCTTTACGTGCATTGACCGCCCTCTACTGGGGAGTGCTTGAACTGTCCCCTCACAAATAAATCAATAATTTCACTTTCCACAAGAGGGACGTATTGCTGCAGGAATGCCGAAACAAACCAGCCTTGCATGGGGGAAATTTTAGTTCGTCAGAAACAAGTGCCATGTTGCACCTGTTGCGCCTTCAATGGGGATTAACCCGGATTAATCTCCCTTTTAAAAAACGTCACAGTGACGTCATTAATGTAGAAAACAGAACTATACAAAAATACAATTTAAAATGTAATTGCGGAAGTACTTTGGTCCCCAAATTTCTTTTGAGTCACTGAGTGGGTGGGAGTGGGCGGCTATAATGTTTTTTTTTTCTTACATTGGTTTTAAATTGCCAGTTTAAAGCATTGGTACTGACAAAGATAAAAACAAGATCGAAACAAAGATAATTCTAAAGTAATTCATCATTTTATTCACATAGTTTCTTCATTCATTTTCAACATTTTACTCAACAGATTCAAGAAATTGAGATGTAAAACAATATAAAATAACAGTGAACGACTAAAAATGGACCACACCCCCTCCCCTCTCAGGAATAATGAATATGCCTTAAAACTCAAACATAATTTTTAAATGGGGATCCAATTTCTACAGATGGCGTGACTTGTTAATGTGCACGATCAGAAGACGACACGATCGTTTGGGCACAACACGTGCTAGTTATGAGCGGCTTAACTGCTAAGGTTTACGTGGGCAGGCTGTGCAAACTCAGCTCGCATTTTCATGTTTTCCACTTCATCACTTGGGTGCTACTCTGAAATGATTCACCAGGTTTGTTGCATTGCATTGTTTTTGGGTGACATACCTGACGCAACGGACTTCCCCCACGTCGCTCTGAAGACGCCACGAAAGTGACAGGAAGTTTCAAAATACCTTCACCTTTGGGAAGATTACCACAAATTATGGCTGCCCATTCGGTCATTGTTCCTATTACTTTCTTTTTACCGCGAACATCTTTCATTTAGGGGGCATATTGTGTTTACTTCAACTTGCAAACCAAAGTTAGGAAGGAAGTTGGTTGGGAAAAAAAATGGACTCCGATTAGCGGCAGCTGCGCGAGTTTGCGCTACCAACCAATCATAACAGCATATGTTGAAATCTCAGTGGAGGGGGGGAAAATTCTAACATGCACAACGGAAGCAGAACAGGTTGTTGAAAATAAATTTACCCAAATTCGTGGAACAAATATGAAAATTTTGCTTGTAAAAAAAAAAAAAAAGTTTTTGGGGGGGGGCGTGATCTGCAATCTGCAAACTCGAACCGAGTGCAAACATGGTGAAGCAGCATTTAGTTGTTATGCTGCACACAAATGGAATAACCTGCCAAAAGAAGCGATGTTCGCCCCAAATCCAGGTTAAAAAGAATGCCCGCCCCCAATGATTTATGTATATAACAGGTTTTTTTTTTTACTAATTTCAGAAAACGTTTTCTTGCTCAGTTTGTTATATTAGTAAATTTTGCTTTTAAGTGTTGTACTTTAATTTATGTCAAGCGCATTGGGTTATCTTGTGTATAAAATCCGCTATATAAATCAAGCTACATTGCCTTGCCGAGTAAGAAAATTCAGCACACTGTTAGCACTGTCGCCTACCACTACTATATGACATTTCTACACACCAGTGAAACAAATCATTAGACGGACTGATGAGTGTGACAGACATTAATGTCACTTTGCGAACCCATCTGACTTCCTCCACCCCAATTTATTCTCCTCACCTTTTTCCACCGCCTCCTGTTTGTGAAGCCCCTTGGGCCTCCACCCCTTCCACTTGTTCTGATCACCCTTACTTTGATGCGTCCTTGATGCCGAATCATTTTATTTCTTTTTTTTTTTTGCTCGTTCTTTGTTCCAGAAACTGCCGATGACATCATATTCATGTTCCGCCACTGCGAATAAACACGGCGGCCCTGAATGAAAATTGAAATGGAAGAAAAATGATCAGAACATTTTGTTTGAGAGCTACAATGTACTAATGGATCGGTAAGTAGGTGGGTAGATCGCTGTATGGCAAAGAGAAATGAACATCCTGCTTGCATGTCCCTGTGACATGATTATAGACATGGCAAAAAAAAAAAAAATACACTCAAACTGATGAACAGTGAATAGACTCCACTCGCCGCATTACTGTTTTAATGACTGGAATGTAGGGCGAGGCAGTGGGTCAAACTATCTCTCAAGAAAAAAAAAAAAGATTCCCAATATAAAGCATATAGAGGAAAGATGAGCTTTCATGCACCCTGTCACCTGATAACACGACGAGCTGTCCGCTGTGGTAAGTAAGCGCTGTCCCTGAAAGGGTTAATTGGGAATGAGATGACAAAAAGCACCACGAGGCTTGACTGTGTAGGCTCGGGGTGTGTGCGTGTGTCTCATTCATCAGTGGCTAACAACAGTTCTTTTCAGAGCAGTCAGTGTATCCGGGTCAGCTGGGGAGGAGATGCAGAGTCCTGCAGCTGTGCTTGTGCCTGTGTGTGTGTGTGTTTGTGTGTGCGTATGAGCAGCAAAAGAAAGTACAAATCAAGTAGATACATATTCAGTGTGTTTTTCTACAATTTCTTCTGTTTTGTAGGTTACCAAAGGCTTGTTGATTCCTACAGATTTTTTGTTTGTTTGTTTTTGAAAGTGCTTTGCCGTGTATAAAGTTCTTATCGAGTTTTTATTTTTTAAAAAAAGTATAAACATCAATGATGTTTGCAGATGATTCACTTACTCAGCTGCTTTGAATAGGAGGTGTTTTCAACCCCCACTTTAATTTCGTTTGTTTTGTAGCAGACCTGTCATTTTAACATCCAATAGTGGCCTGCAAAAATTTGTTTACCTTTGCTTTTTGGCTGCCCACATATTCTTCTTATCTCCGCTGCACCATCACGACTTGATTGCTGTTTTTTTTTCTCGAGCTTCCTAGAGTTCTGCCCCTCTGGGAAAACAAGATGCAAGGTTTTATTGCCCCCCTTTGCCATCTCATGCATGTTCTCATGTAACTGCCTTACTGCCAAGAGGAATGAGCTAATTACTCAAAAATGTTTTATTTTAGCTTCAGAATCTAATCTGCAGTTGTTTGGAAAACACTAAATGCTTATGTTTAAAGACGGACGTTTTGATACGGCTCTGGATGACCTTCGATTGTGCACGTGTTGCGACTGGTTATAGTCTCAGGGCCATCCTGAAATGACGCTAACGTTAAATCCACGTCATCGAGCCACTTAAGACAAAACTGTGAACGCTGTGGTGGGTTTGTTGATATTTTGTTTTCCTCGCAACACATCTGATCCACTTTCACCTGACAACTCGTGGCTGCAGCATGACCTAGACTACAACATGGACTTATCAGAGGACAGTTACATCATATTAGCCGATCCACAGAAGGATTAGTTATCTGTATGTATTTGCAATGACGTATATACTGGAATCTCATCTGTCATATGTATAGAACTGAGATTAATCACGATCGCCGTTTATTAATTATAAGGAAATTTATTAAAAATAACACAATTAAAAATCTGAATTTTATTTTAATCACCTCGTTCATAAATGACCTGCCCCATCGCCTTTTCTAAAAGGAAAGAGTGCTTCGTCCCTATCTAGTGGCATTAAATTGCAAACTCGGTTTCAGTTACGAGCAGATTTTCAATTTCGCCGCAGGGCTCGATCCCTATCCCACTCGATATTCATCATGACGCATCAGAATAGCAATGTCATTTTTTTCTTTCACCAATCAGATTTCAAATTCATCCTCACAGGCCCTCGATGACCAACAGCAGACTTTAATTGGGACTCCCGAACGGTTGGTCGGAGCCAAACGTTTCGTCCTGCTATTATTAACTGATTCTGAAAAAAATGGCGCACCTACAAGCTGTAGTAGTATTTTGCGTTTTATATCCCATCTATGGTTTAAATTATGACAGTGATAGTTTGAGGTAGATTAAGTCCAATAAATTCCTTTCTCACGCCAGCCAGCCGCATTTGGGTTCGCCACGCTTGCGCTGCCGTCCATCGTCGTCTGTGGGAAGAGTCGGGGGGCGGGGCTACGAGCAGCCGCGTGATCCCACTGGCTGCGAGAAGCGGACGAATATTCCTGAGAGCTCCTTCACAAGGTCCGTCTGCCGGGAGCGGGACTGGGGACCCTCAGCGCTCCTGTTTGGGAGATGATTCGGGGATGACGATCTGGAGGGAAGCGCAGCACCTTGACTGAACTGATGGGACACACATGAAAGCAGCCAATACTGCGGAGGTCCGCATCTTCCATCATGGAGATGCGTACGAAAGGACATTTGCTCGCAATGTTTACGCGCGTGCCTCTCGAGTGGCTCTAAGGCGCGCGAGGAGGAGGAGGATGACAAAAGCGCATCCCGTTCGAGCGGCCAACACGCTGTTGCATCTGTGAGGAAAGCTGAAAAGCTTCCACAAGAGGGACTTTTCGGTGTTGTCGGTGCACTGGAAAAAGAACTCTTTTTTTTTTTGTCACTTGGTGCGTTGGCATCTGTGCGGACTGCGGCACAGCTGGCTTTGTTTTGGCCGCTATTCTCAGGTAAGATCTTATTGTTGTTTGGAATTGCAGATTTTTGTCAACAAAAAGGGTGCGCGGGCTGGATTTGATTCGTGCCATGGTAACTTCTCATGTCAGAGATTTTAGGTTTAAATGTCTTTTTGACATCTTTCCTATATGATGCGTGCAACCGGTAACCTGATAACATGATAAACTGTCCACTGTAGTAACCGCTGTCCCCCGAAAGGGTTAAATATCCGTGATCAACTCTGAAAATCAATCAATTAGTTATCCTCAAAATATTAAACATTGGGTGTGTGAGCCTTTCTGGATTTTCTCAACCGGTTTGGATTCCAGTGGTTTGTTCAAGTGGATTAATGGAGCGTGATGGGGCTACAGCACGGTCTTTGCGGATGTACGTTGCTCCGCTTTCCGCAGATGATGTCACATTAGGAGTGAACTCAACAGCGCACTCCAATTACTTGTGGACCGTGTTACTCAACAATTGGCCTAATTTTTTTTTTGTCTGTGGCTCTTCAACAACTTTGAGATGGATCACGAGAACCGAAATCCCCCCCGTGTTCAATTTTCCGCGAAATGTCAGCTTTGCTTCGAGCGCCTTAAAAGCACCGCTCATGTCCTGAACTGCACGTTCAGCCGAGTGTCACAGAAATTTGCGCTCGCGCATCTTGATTTAATTTAGTTTTTTTTCTTGATTTGCAGGTCATTTTTGGTTGGAAGACGCGCAACAGCGAGCACGGGCATCGGACCCGGCGTCACCGTCATGGGTACCGTACTGTCTCTGTCACCCGGCTCACGCAAGTCAAGCTACTACGACAACCGTCCCGGCTCGCTGAGCCACTACCCGAGCCTGAGCAGCCGATCTCTCAACAGTCAAAAAGAGCGCGGCTTGAAAAGAGGCCAGTCCATCTTCCTTCCGGTACTCACGTGGAAACGACTGGTGACCTCCACCAAGAAGAAGGGCAACTCCAAGAAAGGCCCCAACGGTCCAGTTGGCCTCGTTGACCCGCTCAACAACAACAACAACAGCATCAATATTTACCAAAAGGATCCCGTGCTGCACCTCAACTACGAGAATGTGAGGAAGTCTCTGTCCTGTGCCAACTTGAGCAGCTACGAGGTCTCGGCGGGACTCGGCCTGGGGCTCGGCTACGGCCTGGGACTCGGTCAGGGCCGCGGGTACGGCTGCATGAAACCCCAGCCGCTTTCTTCGGTGAAAAAGGCTCCCCAGGGGACGGTGACCACGTCCCCCAAACGCGTCATCGTCCAGGCGTCCACCAGCGAGCTGCTGCGCTGCTTGGGGCAGTTCCTGTGCTGCCGCTGCTACCGGCTGAAGCATCTGTCGCCGTCTGACCCCGTCCTGTGGCTGAGGGCCGTGGATCGCTCGCTGCTGCTGCAGGGCTGGCAGGACCAGGCCTTCGTCACGCCAGCCAACGTGGTCTTCGTCTACATGCTGTGCCGGGACGTGGTGGACGGCGACTCGGTGGCGTCGGAGCACGAGCTGCAGGCCATCCTGCTCACCTGCCTCTATCTGTCCTACTCCTACATGGGCAATGAAATTTCCTACCCGCTGAAGCCTTTCTTGGTCGAGGCGGGGAAAGAGGCCTTCTGGGACCGGTGTCTCGCCATCATCAACGCCACGAGCTCCAAGATGCTGCGAATCAACGCAGACCCTCACTTTTTCACGCAAGTGTTTGCGGAACTCAAAAGCGAAGGGGGCCGCGTTCCGCAAGATTACGGTCGGCTGCTGGATCGGTGAGAGGAGATTCAGAAGCGACCTTCTGGGTTTTTGTTTGAATGCTCGCGACTGCACAGACGCGACCGTCCGACGCTATCTGCTGCCGTATGTATTTATTTAATGATCGCACCTTGTTGTGTTGGTTGCCAATCCTCGGATGGGAATTTGAGATTTCGATTGAAATATTGGTGGATCGGCGTCTAGGACGGAACTCGACAGGATTTACTGTTATGCATTTTGAAGCAATGTAAAGTAGATTAAAAAAAACAAAAAAAACGACAAATTCGCCCCAAAATTGAATTGATTCGCTCTCGCCTTCTTTTCGCTTCATCATTTTAACCAAGAACAACCATGAAAACAATCGCAGTCCCATTTGTGTTGTTTACCTCAAAAATCTGCTCGAGTTGACTCGAATTCCGGAGCCATTTGCTCCCCGTCCAAGCCTGCACAGCACATTTACGGGGCTCCAGTTGTCTCAGCTGCCTCTCGGGATCCCCTCAGCATCCCCGCGCGTCTCTTCGAACGCGATAAATCAACGCGCGGGGCTCAGACTGGAGTTCCCGCCGTTCTCTTCCGAGCACCATCACCTTATTTCCCGCGCTAAGAACCTAAACATCCGCGCAGATTGGATTGACATTTTTCCATCAGAGACGGAATCATAAAATCGTGGCACAGACAGTTTAATCTGACACAATTGGATATTCCCGGAGACAATGCGGAGCGAGATCGCGACTGGCAGAGTGACTGACGGGAACAGCTGCATGTCGGTACAATGCGAGTCCTGCTGTGCGCGTTCTGGCTTTTGTGGGTCACCTGGCCTGCGGGGACAGTTGCCTATTTTTACCCGAATCAAATTTACAAGCGATCTTGTCAAGTGTTTGTCAGAGTCGTCGTAATATAGCCTACTTTAGCGTGGACGCACGCGAGCGGAAGCGTGACCGAGTTGTGAGTGGCCGGCCGCCAGGGTCGTCAGCCGTTTGGCCCGTTCCTGTGCTCCCTTGCCGACAGGCCGCCGCAGCAGGCTGGGTATTAATTAGATTAGTAGATTATGCCTGCCTGCCTCCCCCGCCCCTCAAGACCTCTGCCCCCTTCTTGCCCACTCAACAACCCCCGGCAATAGTACGGCGGCTAATCCAGGCCGCGCTGGACGGCCTTTTAAAGGCCCCCTCCCGTGCTCTTTATTCGGAATAAAAGCATGAGGCGCAATACGACAAACTGGATAATATGACATAGCTGCAGATTTACATGAAACATTATTTAGTATATGCCGAAAAAAAAAAAAAAAAAAAGGTCTTCGAATCCTACACAGTCATACCTCGGTTTTCGACCATAATCCGTTCCAGAAATCAGAATCCGAGGCATAAAAAACTCGAAATTTTTGGTCAAAAACCGATTTGGTCGAGAACGGAGACGTTCGAAAACCGAGGTTTGACCGTATTCCGCTCAAGACTGTGCCGCTCTAGCCGTCCCCCCCGAAATCATCTGACGAGATATGAAATTTGACCTTAACACACATAAACAAACACTGTGGCGCACATCCCTTCAGTGGGTAATCCAGCGCTAATCCTCCCGCCCAATCAGATAGAGAGGGAGCGAGGGATGACGAGATGAGCGAGGGGAAATACAGTTCCGAATCCACTGAGATTTTGATGTCACACGAGCGGCGCAGTTTTTGATCCCCCCCCAAAGGCCACATCGGCCCAAAGCTGCCTATTCCCAGCCCCCGACTGGAGTCGAGCCCGCCCGCCTCTGCGCCCGCCCGAGGGGGGCTGGCGTGAGTCACACCAGTCAACCTGACACGAGTGACGCCGTGATTCAGAAGCAGAAAGTGAGGCGCCTTTCCTTGGCCTTCAAACGGCAGCCATTTTTGCTCTCATTGTTGCTCCTGCACCCCCCTCGCCTGCACAGCTTTGACAAGGACACTTGTGTCTCGTCTGACCACCCGCCCCACCCCCCCGACGCCGCTCTGCTCCATCCCCATTTGTGCACACACTCAGCTGTTCATTAGATTTGACACCCCAACCCTGCCAGCAGGGATCTGTCAGGACGAGGGAAGGGCACGACGACGAGGGCTGTCATCTTTTTTTATGATCTAATGAGTCTGCAGGCCAAAAGTTAAAGGTCGCAGCGCCAATTCTCACTCAAATCAGAGGATGACGAGAAGTGTGACGACTTGAATCGAAAAATCATTTTGAAAAATGACTTTCCTCGCTTCTACTCGGTGCAGGATGTGATCCCCATCCTTCAGTGAGCGACATGTCAAACGTGACACGCTGAACATAAATGGCAACTGTCCCCTCTTGACATTACCTCTGTGCAATCAGTACCCAGGCTGGATCCAGTAGCTGCTCCTCCAATCGTTCCTCGGAGCGCAGCGGCTTCCAAGCTCATTAACCGGCCCCCTCGGCTGGAGCTGTAATTCACGTCATCCAATCAAAGGCCTCCTTTGAGATCTACCTGCAGGACGGCAAGCACACGACGCCTGTGCGTCACCGAGACTTGATAGTTGCTCGGACTTGAAATTTACATTTGTGAAGGTGACGGGCAAATTGATGGGATTGTGAGTGGATATTTATCCGATTAGCCAAATGCAGAGACTCCCCTCCCCCAACAACAACAACAAAAATGCAACGAAAAGTCTTCACGCACATACAATTAAGGCCAAAAATGGGTCAAACCACGGCCAAGTGTTGTCGTGTTAAAGTGGATGTTTAATTGTTAAATGGTTACATCGTCTTCGGGCTGGCAATTAAAACAGTTAGTGCTAGAAGACTGTAAGTTGTGTTAGAAGTATTTATAAAGTATTTGCGATTGTCTTTTTTTTTTTTTAATCTTGGAAAAACTTTGGACTTGGATTTTTGTGGGGCAGAAAATGATAAATCGTGAAAAAAGGTTTGATTCAGAAATATTTGGCCACTTTCTTGTGTCATTTCCGATGCGGGGGGGAAGGGGGGGTCCTATTCGCCAACAATTTTGAGTCAAAAAGGGTACGAATAGAGGTCACAAAAATGGTTTTCTCATTGGAGAAACATTTGAAATGATAGGAATGGAAACTGTTTCCACTGAAGCTGAAAATGTTCTCATGAAAATGTAGACTAGTTGCCACGGCTCTGTGAGCTGTGTTAAATTATTGGAGGCTGCCGCTGCTGCAGGTTAGCATGATCGCCTTAATGTGGTGAGACTGATGTAAATATGGCGGCGTGTTCCCCAAAAATGTGTTAAAAAAAAAAAAAAAGTCACGTACGGAGAAAAAAAAAATAGGATAAGGTAAATCGTGCTGTCGTGTCGTAGAATGCATGCCGGCTGGTAGTTTAGAAATGTACTGTGTTTTGGTTTTTTGTTTTTTTTACCTGCACACGTTTTTGCTTTTTATACATGACAAATTCTTGTTTTAATATTATGTGTTGGTCCTTTTTAAAAACTTTTTTTTTTTTAATCAGCATGTTGTCAACATCCATTAGGACTTGTCATCATCACTGCTCATGCAAAGAAACACTGGTTAAAAAAAAAAAAAAATACTTGTTGCAGCCTCTTGAATTTGAAACGCATTTGATTTCTTCTGGCAAAATTATGATTTAAACAATCTCACATGACTTTAAATTTAGATGGAGATCATTCTGGGGTGGGGTTTAGAATGATGTTTTATGTGGCAATCCCCTCTGGTGCCTTTTTAAGTCACACGTTGTTATCAAATTGATCAAGTGAGTGGCTATCAATAGATTTTTTTTTTTCCCCATCAGTGCAGCAGATGGTGACACAAAGATGGCCATTGTACTTGGCGGTGTTTGTCTCAGGCAGCTCCGGGCAGCCTGCTTACACACAGATTGTCTCACAAGTTTTTGTTTACGGCAGCACGTGGGGCAACAGTTGGCAGATGTTAAAACGGAGAAAAATAGATAAATATAACATAACTGTCGAGTTTCACAATCTCCCCACAGCCCCGGCTGGGTCGCTCTGGGTTTCCATGGTTACCTTCCTCTGTAACATCCCGCTAAAACAAAGAAGCACATTAACCCGAATAAACTTTCGTAAAGTCACTAAGAGTGTGTCGAAGAAAAAACAATTTTTTTTTCCCTTTTTTCATGATGACACTGTTGACTATGTGGATTATTTAATAAAGTACGGAGCGGAAATACAACTCGGATGTCTGAATATTATTGCATCTGCACAAGTGAAATCAAACCTCTGTCTGCAATCCTGCCAATTTGTTTGCACGTGGATTCATGAGGGGCAGAAAATAGCTTGAAGGCCCGCCTCACAGTGGCCCGGGGCGCAGATGGCCTTTTAGCGCCCTGTGAGGAGGGCTGTGCTCCATCTGAGCTTGTCTGTACCGTCAACCCCACCCCCCACCCTCCCACTGTCAACCGAGGTGGAAGTGTTGCCGACCTCCAAAGTGTCATGGAGTGGGTGTGCAGCTTCGAAAACGTGAAGGAACCCTGCAGAGCGCCGAGGCCATTTTCCTGACATTAAAACGGGTGCACCAGTAGAGCGCCGTGGTTTTATGTGCCCATTTAGCACTAGACTGAGCAGCGGGATGCCCACAACACCTGTCCACCTATCTCCATATTTCACATTGAAGCATATTCACAGCTGATGTCTTTCCCACCGGTCTTAAAATGCTTTGAGAAAGTGACTTATTTGCAAATATTGCTTTATCAGACTTCAGTTCAGTTTAATTAGGAGGTGTCCAAACTATGGCTTGGGGGTCATTTTCTGCCCTCTCACCCTTCCATTTTTCTATATGCGGCCCTCAAACGAAAAAGCTTGGACACCCCTGGTTTAATTGAGAACTAAACGATTAGGAGATAAACCTCTGATGAATCCCAAGATGTCAAAACATTTTAAACGTGCACGTTGCTGCTGGTAATTTAAATCTATGAAGTTTTTTTTTTTTTTTGAAATTAAAAAAAAATGTTCGACATCACATCTACTCACAGAAGCCACCACAAGTCGCAAGAATGTGACACGTTAGCCATTTCCTGCCCGCTTTACTTACGAATAAACTGTTATTAAATAATCAGCAATGACAAGCAAACACATTGTCGCGACTTTGCTGTTAACACATTGTTGAAAGTTGGTATCCGACTTTATATTACGCCTTGCATATGGCACCAGTTCGCCGGCTGACATTAGCGGCTAACGGCTAGCAGCTAGCTCAGTTGTTAACACTGTTGTAGTTGGCATCCGATTTTATACTACGCCTTACATATGGCACCAGTTCGCCGGCCGACATTAGCGGCTAACGGCTAGCAGCTAGAATAAGATTAATAAAAGAAAAAAAAATAGTACCTACTCTACCAAAATAAATACATTTAAAATACCACCCCCCCCCCCCACCAAGCCACATAACTAAAAACCCCCCCCCCGAAGCTGATGTTAATAATTAATAATTTTATACGTGTAGTTTCAGATCGTTCTTGTTCAATTGGTTTCTCAAATATGTCCAGATTAGCGCGCATCCGGTCTGTCGCCACGTTAGTTTGGAGAGAATAGCAATCCGCCCCTCATGTTACTGTAATCTCCAACATGTGACCTCCCCTGGGGTCTGATAATGGAGGGATGCAGGAAAAACCTGCTGGGCTCTCCAAAGCAGCGGCGGGTCTGCCCCCCTGAGAGGATTTAGGGGCAAAAAAAAAAAAACATCTCTGGGACACATCCAACGCTAAATCCTCTCCAACTCATTACGAAATCCGAGTTGCGCGACGGGTAATCCCAAAAAAGAGGAGAGGCCAGGTGCCGGCCTCTCTGTAATGGAATTGCTACGGCACTTTAAGTGATTGCATCAACAATCAGCCGGGCCTGATCAATTCGATTAGCGCTCGACGACTTCGATTTGTATAAAGCGACGAGACAATGAAGCATCCGGGCAGGGAGGCGGCAGACAAATGTCACACAGACAAAGAAAGAAACGATTCCAAGGCTCTAATTTACAGTTTCATCATGACATTGGGAAGTGTAAGCAAATGTTGAATATTTTGCGCGTGATGACTAACATTGTGCTTTGTTTTTGTTTTTTAAACAACAATCCCAAATAGTGGACGTTAAATTGAAGATTGGCAATATTTGTGACTAATTTAACCCTTTGAGGGACAGCAGGTTACTACAGTGGACAGCTCAACTGGTCACCAGTCAGTCGCAGGGCACATATAGTGACAAACAAGTCCGCCGTGTGTACCAGTACACCATTAGTGACTTTACAGATTTATTAATAAGATAAGATATCCTTTATTTGTCCCACACTGGTGCAAATATAATGCACAATATACACTGCTAGCTGCTCGATATCATCGCCCGATTTTGTAATGTGGACATTTTAGATCATTGCTGAAGCCCAATTTTCGCACTCGGCTGCTCTAAAACTGCATGTTGCGTCACTGCGGGGTCTCCTAACGGCTTTTTCTTTTCTGCGTTAATCCACGCATGCGATTGGAATACAGAACAATTTGCAGGCAGTTTCCATGTCCTGCTAAACAAGAAGCGGCATCTTTGCAGATCTGGCCTCTGGGCTTTAAGTTTGACATATATTGTATGGACCTAATCATAATTTATGATTATTATTATTATTTTTAATTGTTTGTTTGTTTGTTTTTAAATAGTGTTTCACGTTATTTGTTTCCTGCGCCCAAATCTCCTGCGATGATTCTGATCTAATCCGGAGGACACCGAAGGGACAAGACAGGAAATAACTCTTGCGTCATTTCGGCCACTTTTGTGCAGTCGGTGAGCTCGATCGCACGCTTTCAGCGGATGCTTTGGATTCAAGATAAATCCAACTGTTTTGGTTTTTTTTCCTCTCGCCTAAACACCAGATATTGTAACTTGAGTGGACTGCATACAGGAAACCCCTAAACATGACATCGGTGGGTGCATTCTTGGGAAACAAATTTTGTAATTTATAGAACGCATCGCGGGGACATTCGAACACACACGAACCGTTTGAACAATTTATTCCGTTAAACTTCACACTTATTTCAGGAAAGCGTTTCACAGTTCGAATAGTTTCTAAATGCTCAAAGCTATCACATTTGTTTGTATGTTTACACATACATTTATTGATTTAAACTTGAAAGCATGTTCAACTGGAGGGTACCCAAGTTTGGAGGAAAATCCCGTTCTGGCGGCTGACCGGCTAAAAAGTCTCTGCCTCATTTGGCCGGAACCAGTAGAATGAAACCTTCTTTGCTCTTCTTGAAATCGGCATGAGTTAGTCCCTCCTTGGTTTCCACGGTAACAGTCTTTGGTTTGCCGCGCATGTGTAGCCGGATGCCCGACGGGCACACCTTCACGGCTAATGAGGTTTTTCTTTCACTGAAAGGCAAAAAAGAGATGAACGTGAACGGAAATCAATCCAACTTTGCAACAAACATGAATCGTAGAGTAGATCAATAAAATTCCTCAGGGGACTTTTGGCAAATGGATTTTCAAAAATGATACAAGGGCGAAGGAAATCTTGTAGGTTGTTTTAATAAAAGGCGGTGGGAGGAGATGGTCAAAACCTAAATGTCTTTTGTGGCGTGCCTAATGGTGCCTTGTTTGACTGCAGCAGGGTCAGGTAAAGATGACCCAGGAGGCCACCGCTTCCTCTTGGCTTTCAACTCCACTCGACTGTATTTCGAGAGCACTTTCAAACCAACCGCCGCTGTCTACAAAGTGCTCTCCGCGGAGCAAAATAACAGTAATGAAAGACAGTCGAAAGCATTCAAAATCAAGTCTCATGGTGAGTCAAAAGCCAAAGAATAAAAAAATAGTTTGAAGTTTTAAAGAATGGGCAGCAAGGGGGCTTGCTGAACGTTCAGTTGAAAGTCATTTCAAAGAGAGGGACCCGAAACTGAAAAGGCTTGATTCCCTTGCTTAGTTCTCGGTCCATCTAACAGTGTCTGGTCCTCAGACCTGTAAAATCGGGCAGGCGCATAAGAGGCGGGAGGAGCTCAGAGAGGTAATGAGGGGCGAGGCCATTTAAAAAAAAAAAAAAAAATTGAAAACAAATAATAGGATCTTAAAAAGAACTCTAAAATGGATAGGAAGGCAGTGAAGGAATGCCAGAGTAGGAGCTGTGTGGTCCCTCTTACGAGTACCAGTCAAGAGGAGAGCGGCAGCATTTTGGACCAACTGGAGACGCTTCATGGAGGATTGGCTGACTCCAAAGTAAAGTGAGTCACATATTGCACAAAATGAAAAGAGTCTTAAAAAAACTTTGATGGAAGCTGCACTTTTTAAAAGGTAAACTATTATGAAAAGACTAAGATAAGAAATTTTGAGCTAACAAAATTGTCTTGCATTCTATGCGCATCCGTTGGTCATATAAACCTCCTCCGCTATTCCACCCTACCATGTTTATGCGGTAAAAACTCCCACCCACGCCCCCTGTTGAGCAGTCATCTCATGCGTAATTCCTCCTGAGAAGTACGTAAACAGCAAATACAAGTCCTGGCGGTTTGCTTCGTGCGAATGCAACAGTTGGTCGGGCTGACGAGCGCATCGACGTACTTTAACTGGAGGTGTTGGGAACGGCGCCGAAAATATCAACACAATCCTATTCGTGTCGTCGGCTTCATGAGATGAGCAGTTCACACGCAAAACATTCCAAGTGGCAGCTCATCAAATGGAATTCATTCATAACTAAATGAATCACAGTTGATGAGTATTCACAAGACCTTCTTGGGAGGGTTTTTTTCCCCCCGCTGACAATTTATATGAGTCTTGTCTTATAGGGGGGAGGAGGGGGGGTGCAAATGATGATTCGCTTGTACCGGACCGAGTCTCTGAAGCGTCGCCGCCACGATTCCCTTTAAAAACATGACCCGCACTGAGCCGAACTAATCCACACGGTGCAGTTTGAATAATTTATTGTGCCGTATACGGCGCCGGAGACAGATTTGGGGGCGCAGAGACGGTTCATCTTCGGCTTCCTCTCTCACCCTCCAAGCAGTCGGCCTCCATTTTTCTCCCCTCCCTATCCCCACTCCGTCACTGGCTTGGAGAAGCAGGGTGCAGCGAATGCAATGTGAATACATGCCTCTGGTGCCTCCGTTGTGGGAGAATCAGCGGCTGTTTTATGAGCATCCGAGCTGCGAACGTGTGGCGAAGCATAGCCAGTGAGCGTGACGCGAAACGGTTGTTAATGCCGTTTTGTACCATTATGGGCCAATCGGATCAAAATCGAGGTTTTATGCAGAGGCGCTCCGAGGGAATAATGTGACATCGGCAATAAAATCAAGTGATAAACTTTTTTTTTTTTATATGCAGCCACTCAAATTGTGAATTAAATGCTTTGTGTGTAAGATTGCATTTACGATTTGTGCCCTTGTGAGAAGGGCGAAATGGAAAACTTTTTCGGCTCCACTAACTTGTGACAGTGAGTCCGAATAATGCCACTGACTGACAACATCCCGCAAAGAGAAGACAGGTCCGAAGGGAGGCTCTCATCACGGCGCCACCTATTGATCGACGCCATCAATCTCCTTCGTCAATTCGTGCTTCTGCGTTGTTGCTGCTGCCATTCAGGGTCACCTGCTCCAGGTGTCATTGAGTCCCAGGAGGTGTTCAACTTCAACGGCCGGATTTAACCATCGCTTCCCCCACACGAAACCATTATCGCCACGGCAACGGCGGCATAAAACCGCGGCAGCTAGCTGATTACTCCGCGGATTAAGTATCGGCGTCACCACATACATCATCGACAATTTTATACATTATAATCAGCGCCGCTGCTGACAGAAACAATTGGGCTATTTCGGCCAGCGGAAACCGACCACTTGAGTGTTCTCAGCGGGGGCATGCTGGGTAAGAAAAAAAAAGGTGAGTCATATGTGAACAACAGTGGCGCAAAGTGTGACCGCTGGCATGGTTGATTCATTTTGCACATGCCCCGAATCATTAACGGGACAGTAAGTGTCATCAAGTGCGATGTGTTCCTTGCGGTTGATAAATTCTGAAGACGCGAGCTTCCAATCTAAGAGGACGTCTGTGAGTCAGCTTGAGAGGACACCGAAGGGGGCAGCGCGGTGGTGAGCAAATTCTTATGTCGAAATTTCACGCAAACACAGAGGGACAGTGCAGGATATCGGCCCATGGAAACGGCGTGGTCATGTGACTGCCTGGCTCCATTTGATTGGTCAAATGGAGTCAAACGTCACTCGAGGTTGCGTGAACCTTTTCATGCACTGTGAAACCCGATGACACGGTTAGCCGTCCATTGTGGTAACCGCCGTCCCTCAAAGGGTTAATCGTGCTTCTGAACAGGAAATATTCGAGTGAAAGTCAAAAGTATTTGTCAATACAACTATGCTTGCTAATTCCAATCCTTTGTGATTGGTTTGGTTTGATCGAGCTGAGGCGCGGGATCAGCGCCAGCCGGGTCCCATTTCGACTTGGTGATCACGTCGTCACAGCGCCAAAGCGTTTTGTTTGTCCCGCTTTGGTCCGAGGTCAATTTAGAGTTGGTGCATGACTGCTGTTGGAAATACACAAAGAGGTTCTTTGAAAAAGGAATTGTTTTGAGGTCAGTAGCCGGGAAGGCTTCGAGATGCCGGCACAAAAGACTGTCCTGACACGTCACGGAGTGGGAATACTTCTTATTGCAATTAAGTCGAATTTTCTCACGACTACACTTCCTGGAATCACATGACCCACCGGGTTGTTGGGAGCCGAGTAAGAAAATAGGTCAGCGTCTACACTCTATTTACTTCCACCTGGGTTAAAAGCTGTTGCTATAGTAACTCGCCATATGATCAAAACCGCATTACTACCACTGATCCTAATCCATCAAATCAAAAGTTGGGACCAGCAGGGAGCGAGAAGTGGGATTTTGGGGGCGGGGGGGCATCTGACCGATGAGAGGGCAGAAGCTCGGCAGCCTTTTGAGTCGGGCCAGACAGGCAAACACATTGAGGACATCCGCTGAGGGAGAAAAAGCAGAGGGGGGGGGGCAAGCACAGAAACGGAGAAGGCTATTTCGGAACTAGGATAACGCCACTCACGGACGGGGGGGGGGCGGTTCATTTGAAATGGGCGCTTTTTGTTCACGTCTGCATGTGAGCTGCGTGAGGTCAGATGCCAACAAGGTCGCCAGTGACCAAGCCGGGCAGCGGGCGGCTGCTTCGTTGCGCCCCGTTCAACCACATGACACGACTCGCTCCAACGGCAAAGGAGGAGGAGCGACCCAGAAGATGTCGATCAATTTAAAGCCACGAGGCTCTTTTTATAGTCATAAAAAGAGTACAAGAGACTCGACTATAGCTAAGCTGCAAAAGTTGATGGAATGACCAAAAATCCCCCAAATCACCTTTTAAAACAACGAACCCGAGCTTGTCCGCTAGGCTGGGGACAGATCATACCTTAAATCCCGCCTTGAGCTCACTCATGCACCCCCGCCCCCCCGTCCCTCCAGCTGTCCCAGCAGATGGTCCACAAGTTCAACCCACGACACCCCCCCACCACTACAATACACACGACTTCCTTGCAAGTATACATTATACCACACATGTCAAAGTCAAAGCCCGCGGGCCAGATCTGGCCCGCCAAATCATTTTATGTGGCCCGCGAAAGCAAATCAAGCATGTCAAGTTCCATGATGCTTGCTAAAGTCTGAACCAAAATTTCAAATTGTCATCTGTAATCCACAATAGCAGGCATTATTCTTGACTTCTGATTTTAAAACGAGTTATCCATCAATTTGTTGTGCGCCGTGTATGTAATATGTGGAGGTGATTAAATATGTATGTGGTTTCCTAAAATTCATAACGGCCCTCCAAGGGAAACGGTAACTACAATGTGGCCAGTGACAAAAATGAGTTTGACACCCCTGCATTATACAGACAAATGCTGTGAAATGCTGGAAAAATGTGCCTTCTGGTTAAATTTAGTCTGGAATGTACCTTGTAACTATTTCGAATAGTGTGCTGACATTCTGGGCCGCGCTGATAAGAGAAACGAGGTGATAGGAAGAGAAAGCCAGAGACAGGCAGAAAAGGGCGAAAGGTGGGGAGGAACATTCAGGAAAGATTGACACAAGATGTGAGGAGGGGACGCGTTTCACCGAGGGAACATGACGCATTTTCCAAGTCGCATTTTAAACATCTGCTTCAAACGATGCCTTTCGATGACCCAGTTTGATGCGACGCCGCACCTCGGCTGCCACGCAAACACTTAGCGGGAATGAATGTACGTCGATTTTATTCTTGTTCATGTACATTTACAGAATCCTCTTTAGCTCGCCCCCAAAATGCCAAATTATGACATGCGTGTGACTCGCATATTCCGGGATCTCATTTCCTGACAGAGGCAAACGCGGGGGAGCGTGTCATTCTCGATGCCGCCAACTCGCCACCTTCTGTGGGCTCGGGGACCACAACTCCGCCCTGACTTTGTTTCCAAAGCTTCCTTTTGCTGAGCTGCCTCATCAAGGGTCACAACCTTTCTCCGTTTGCCACAGATGGTGGCACAAAGGGAGACGGAGAGGGGGGGGGCTGACATCGACTCCCGACTGGTGCCTCCGCAGCACCGCAAAGCGCAATGCAGCTGTCGCAGTGATCCCAAGCGAACAAAAAACACACACCCACACACACACAATAATCTAAAACTAATAAAACTGCGGGGCCTCACAAGTGCCCTCTAGCCTAAAAAAAAAAAAAAAGACATTAAAAAGTCAAATAACCTGGACACGAGCGAGTCAGATCGTTTATGTTGCGAGTGATAACGACGTGTGCAAGCGGTGCCGGAGGCCAAGCAATCAAATGTACAACCGCATCATTTCGGAGTGTGAGAACACACACCGGGCGCATCTTCCAGATGAATGCGGTCGGCTTGTAATCACATCGAGAAACAACAGTCACATTTCGCGGCGATGGATGTGATAAATGCCAGCGTGACGCTTTCGTTCCCGTGGCGGGATTTCACAACAAGTGTGCGCGCGCGGACAAAGATGACCCCCCCGTGACAGTGATGAATGCCAAGAATATGATTTGCATATTATGTGACTATCATAGATTTTTTATTTTTTTGGTTGAGGCCTTTGAACAGGAAGAGAGGAAAGAATTACATTTAGGAATGGTTGATACGGCTGCAGAATTCCGATTATTTCCCGTGAATCCGAGGAAATTTTATTTCCCCGGCACCGAAAGTATCACTGACCGTGTAAAGTGGTCCACCAACGTTCCCACCAGCTCGCCGACACGGTCCCGGTTGGGACAGAGCTCCCCACATTGGAGACACAGCAGAACGTCGTCCTGTGAGGAGGTGTGCAGCGCCACCATCTGGTCGACCCCGCTGGTCACGCTCAGTCCTGTTAGCTGTGAATATCAACACAGGAGTCGCGGTTAGAAAGCCTTGTGAACTTTTCGTGAACCGTTTCGACAAGCAACTTTTTTTTTCCTATCGTGGGGTCAAGCTGTGAAAAGATTGATGTTTCTGCCCTGTCAAACGTTTCAGTGATTTTTACTTCTTTTTGTTAACTACTGCTTGGTTGCTGCTTTTCCCAGCATTTTAATTGCTCACGTGCACCCATACGCACACAGGCATGAATGATCTCTTTTCAGACTAGAGACCCAAATGGCTCACAACAAGCTACCGTTATCGACGGCATCCCCGTTTTTTCTGCATGTCGAGCATGTCGTGGTTTTAAAGCGCTGAAAACACGCCAGAGGTTAAACAGCATCATCGAGCGGCAGCAGCAGGAGCAATAGAGTGGCTAAAGATAGCCGCCATTAGGCACCGTTGCTCATACTGAAGGCTGGGAGTCGTATCCGGGTCAGACGCTAAGAGAATAAACGACTTGAAGAAAAGTAGACCGCTGCTCTGTCATGCCGTACATAGCGTGCGTTGAATTATGGGTTCGTTGACTTTTAACCGAGCACCAACCAAATGAGGCCATCGTCGCCGATCACTCCCTGTTGCCACATTCAATATGGAAGGCATGTTGACATACTGTACGATTCAGCGAATGTTAATAACTTACGGTGTCCAAAGGAATTCTCTTAAGGACCTTGAATTGTTTCTTTGGCTCTAATTTGTAGAAGCACCCGTCTGTGACGAGTACGCCGCGGTCGGTGCTCTTGTTGAACCGATTCACCTACGAAAGAGCACAGAGAGAAAAATATAAAGGGTTATGGCTCATAATTTGAGTGTTTTTTTTTAAATCATTTACAGGATCTTCAGCTGTACACAGGTAATTGCTTCTTACTTCTCTGTTTTTATTCTGGCATTTACCGATATGCGTTTATGAGAGAAGGAACGAAACCTTTCCTTGAATCCTTGAACAGTGATGGCAAGTGAGCAGAAACACGTTTTCATTTGCGGGCATTTCCCATGTGATTCACCTTCCTGCAGAAGCCCGAGAAAAGGACTTGTCTGTACTCGTCTTTGTTCCTCAGCTCCCGGGAGAAGCGTGCAAAGCCGGAACTGGATCGAGGGCAGTCTCGCACCTGCGGGGATCAAAGCTTTGTATTATTGCAACTGCAAGGATTGGACGGGTGCGCGTCTCACTAGCCAGTGGCGGCCAGTGTATGTGACAGGCGGTCGAAACAAATAGTGCTGTGATGAGGTTTTTGGTTGACTGGCGAACATCAGCAGCTGCCCACGATGATGCCTTTGTGGCTGAGTTGATCATTTTCACACAGTAATGGGGGATTTTATTGCCACTCTCAGTCTAGTCTGGTTATTGTCAGCCAATTATATTACTTTTTTTTTTTTTAGATGAGAAAATTGTCATGCGGTTGGTATGGAGAGTTGATGCAACACAATATGAACGTTACTGTGCAAGCTAAAATGACATCTTTTGCCTCACCTCCCCCGCAAAAAAAACCCAAAAAACTACCAAGTATCAAAAATGTCTCTTTCACACCAGAAAAAAAATCACATCGACAAAAACCTCTCACTCAAACCAAAAAAACCTCCCTTGCCTACCAAAACTACTCTGAAACATGAAAACATCTGCAAAAAAAAAAAAAAACCCTGATGCATACGCAAAATAAACCTCATACACACTCAAAAAATTCTTGCAGACAACAAAAAAATGGCATACTGACAAAAAGTTTTGTCAAAAAAAAAAAAAACACACCCAAAAAACATCGCATCAAAAACCCAACTACAACAGACTCTACTTCACCGCAAAACAAATTAACACTCACCACACACAAAAAACAAAAAACTTCAAAATCACACCCAAAAATAACATCCATTTATCCTATTCACCAAAAACCCATCAACTAAAGGAAAAAAAAACAGATGCATGCAGAAACAATTTTACCTAAGTGTGACCCTTTTTTGCATCCGTGAAATTATGCCTGCTTGACATCAGCAAAAGACTGTCTGATGTGAACAACAACCTACACAAAATAAACTTTTGCCCTCCTTGTTTTCCTCTGTGTACTCGTTCTTTCACGGGGCATGCTGAATGACACGCATTTATAAGTCTCGGCAGAATTAACTCCAATCACGTGAAGCCGGCGGCCCCCGAATGAGACTTTTGAGTCACAAGCCGTCATGAACACATGTGAGGAGTGATTCAGGACTGTGCCGAATTCATGCTGGCGCTCCCTGAAGGCATCTCCGAAAGCCTGTGGCCCCGCAAACAAGCTCAGATTAGCTACTCAAAGATCAGAGGGTGGGATTCGTTGAGAGAGGGGGGTGGGCTCACAAGTGCCCCCCGGTCACATTATTTGCTTGCTGGAGTTGTCACATGCGCTCCGTGGAATTTCATAAAAGATTATCGTCGAGTCTAAAAACACAGCAAGTCATTTAGGTTGCATTTAGCATGCAAAGCTCACGTGGGAAAAAAAATTTAAAAATAGGACATAAAAGGCAATCGATTTTTATCGTCTCCGTCTTTAAAGTCACAAGGACGCAGTAAAAGGGCTTGTGGCGTGGGGAAATTTCAAGACAACTGCGATCCGAGAGCAGTGATTCTCCAAAGTGTGCAAAGTGTGTCATGCAAGTGATAGGCCGGCTCCCCCTTGTGGCATCTGAAAGAATCACTGCCTCGGTAAATCCAGTTCCGTTTTATTTAACCTTTGAAGTTCAATCTGTTTGCATTGAATGTTTACAGTTCGTTTGTTTGTAAACATTTATTTGAATACATGTTTTTATTTAACTTTTGTTTCCAATACAGTCTAAATGAATCATTTCAGTACTATTTTTTTTTTAATCATCTAATATTTCGGCTCGGTGTTAATGTTCAAACTGGGCCTAATTTTACCACGACGAGCGATAATATTAAACCTTTTAGGAATGAAACCTGTCTTATTTTTTTAACACTGAGGCCTACTACATGACTGTATTTCCATACGGCGCAACATAGAGAGTTAAGGTTTTTTTTTTTTAAGGTGGTACTGGATTAGTGAAGTGAAGCTTGCCGTTCTAACACTGACAACCCACCTTTTAAGTACAGAGTGTGAGCGTGCTCTCTTTCGTTTTGTTTGCTTTTCCTCGAGAGAACAGCTGACTCGATGGGGTTGCGTGCGGGATCCTTACATTGGCTAGGTAGTCTCTTTCCCAGGCTCTGCTGCAGCCCCAGTCTTTTCTCTCCCCGCCAAGAGCAGTCAGAGCGGCGACTTTGGCTCGAATCTCAAGCACGTCTGACGGCGGGATTTTCTTCACCATCTGTCTCGCCCACCACCTGAAAAAAAAGAGAAGAGACTTTGGTGATGATTTTAGAAATAGCCTAATTCCGTGAGCAAAATAGAAAGCCCCTTCCCTGACCTGCGATGCAGCACAACCGTGATGGTGTGAAACTGGTTCAGGGCGGCAGGCGGAGTCGGCCATTCGACGCTCTTTCCGTAGTCGGCCATGTTTCTGACATTGGCGAAGCGCTGCTCCACTTCCCAGAAGTGGGCTTTGACCTTGTAGCGCTTGAAGCAGCCCATGATGGCATAAATGGCCCTCATCCGCCGGCACCTCATACGAGCCAGAGCCCCCCGCCATACCTGTGTGAATTTTTTTAAAAAAACGGAGAGATAAGTTACTGACTCGCCGAGCGAGACTTCTCTGTTCACTCATCCAACTAGGTCATTAGCGGAAGAAAAGAGATGCTAATTTCACTGTTAAGTAATGGACTTTATGTAACGGTGTCCCGCATTTCATTAAATAGACGTAAAGGCGAGCAATGCCAACGCGGCTAACCTTTTGTAAGAAAAGCACCAAGATGGGGATGAGGGCGGCTCGCTCCTGTTCCAAAGTGAAGAGGGATCGAGGCGTTCGCACAAAAAGCTTGGTGTGGCCGTACGCCACGTCGTCCTGGAAACCGTGCTGTTTGACGATGGCCTCCACGGCCTCCCGGTCGGAATCCATCAGATGATTGGGCCAAGTGTACTCGCACGTCATTTTATACCTCGAGTAAAGTGGTATTGTTCAGGAACGTTTTAAAGTCTGGTAACGATCGGGGCTATTTTGCATCATGCGTCGAGGACGTCTCTTACCTCTGCAAGAAGCGAGCATAGGGTTGCCTGTAGGCGAAACCCGCCCTGCGCACCATGACGTTCTCCAGCAGACCCAGATAGGCCACCTGATGTTGGCAGCGAGCGTCGTCAAACAGCAACGGGGACTTCAGCTCATTTGGCTTGATGCATCTCACGTAATACGGCTCCTGAAGAAAAAAAGGCGGGTGCCGATTTGTTTATTCAACAGATTTAACATATGGTATTGACAAACGTTTTTTTTTTTGTCTTTATTTGATTACTTCCTTATTAGTTATTTCGAGTCGTTTCGTTTGATTGTAGTTCACGATGTACTTGCGAAGCACCTTCAGAAATGCGCCTTCCAAATAAAGGATGATTGACGGACAGCGATTGCTAACTGCGAGTGACGGAGGAGCTGCGAAAACTGACCTCTGGAAGTGCAACACAGCTGAGGCTCGTATAACATCTCGCTTTATTAAAAGCACGTTGAAGTGCGGCGGAGTAGCAGGCGAATGCTTTCACATCAACGGGGGCTCTCTCCAAGGGCCACGCTATCATGTTACGGCGCAGCTACTACAGTGGGCTCCCTCCATGAGAAACAAAGTGGGCACTCGAAAGTGCTTTCCAATGCCACAATGCAGTGATGATTTTAAGCCATGTTTCAGTTCCATTTTTGAAGAAAGTTTTTGGCCTCACCGTGATGTTGATTTTTTTTTTTTTTTTTTTTTTTAATTGATGAGCACCATAGCAATTTTTTTTGGTGCAGCTGTGCGGCCTTGGCAAATTACTAGCAATTTGTGTACAAACAGAAAGCCGAGCAGGTCGTCCAACCTTGCAGGCCAGTTTATCCACCAACGCGACAATGGAGTTTTTGAAGAGGGTGGCTGCTGTTAGCGGTCGCTTGGTGACCTCCGTGATGCTGAGTTGACCATCGGGCCACATCTCCTTCATCACTGGGTTGGAGCTTCGAAAGAGCACAAAAAAAGGTGGGGGGGGGGGGAGGGGTTTAAATGTATACGAACAAGGTCAAGAGGGAACTTGGCCTCATTACTGAAGAGCCGCAACTGCGATGGCGTGTTTGGAACCTGTGGTACATGAGGCGCTTGAAATCTTGGAAAAGCAGGTCTCTGTTTTTGTCCAAAAAGCCCTCGACGGAATATCTGTCATAGGTGGCGAGAGGGAGAGAGGAAGCATTAGAAAGACTTTAGGGCTAAAAGTAGTTCAGATTGAACGAGGGGGGGTCGAGCTGAAAAGCGCTTTGACAAGAATCAACATGATCAAATTCAAAGAAGTGAGACCGAGTAACACAGATTACACACAGAGTCACGTCATTACCTCATGAGTGATTTGGCGCTCAGTTCCAACTGACTCTTGAGGATTAAAGCAATGCTGCATAGCAGATTTCCATAACAGGAATACAACTCACGCTTGGGTTAGCAAAAAAAAAAAAAGTGAACCGTCAACCAATTTAATCTGTCTGCTCCCTGCAAAATGTTTGGGTGGCTTTCTGAGCACCAGAGGTTAAGATGTCACAACATGGCACAAATTACATAAGATGTTCATCCACAGGGGGAAAGCCAGCTGGAGTGAATGCAAAATAAGTTTTTTTTTTTTTGGGGCTCATTAACAGCACGACAGTGAGAAAGCTCTGTAATGCTAATGAAGAAAATGAAAAATAATGACAAACAGGCGGCGGCGTCGACATACTTCTCCCACACATAAAAGGCTTGTTTCAACCAAGCTGAAAACAACATAAGAGCAAGTCACGGCATTCACTTGGAAGGACAGGTAAGGTTGTAGAGGACATGCAAAGATCAGATGAGCTCTCCGGAGATGACATGATGGCTTCAACGAATGAAAGTGAAGGTCAAGGTCGGCACAACGGAAGAAGGACGAGTATGAGACCCAGCTGACAAGTGAGATTTGATTCAACATAAGAGGTTGTACGGGGGCGCCTTGAGACACAAGCTTAATTTTAAAAACTCAAAACGCGCGCCTCTCAAATCATTTTGTCCCCGGTCGCTGCCCTTCCAGAATTAAATCATTTTTGTTGCATTCTTTGAATGACCATTGTGCTGCGCCTTCTGGTTTTGGCCACCTAGGGGGCAGTACAAGCCAGAGCACTATACTATGGCTGTTTTTAAAGTGCTCTATAGGTTGAGTTCAGACGACTCGAGACTTGTTCTACACAGGGGATAAAGACCATACAACTATGAGTACTGTTATATTGTTTGTCAATGTGTGTTTCTGCACCATTTGTTCATACGTTCAAGCACCGAAACATGTATACTATTCAATGCTCGCATTAAGCCAGTCGGCTAAAGAGCCGAACTGTGTCGCCGTTTTCAGTGCACGAGATATAATTCTCTTTTTCAGGACAAACAAATGATTCATCGGGTAAAATTTGATATAATGCAGAGGAAGGAAAAAAAAATGAGGGAAACGAAAGGATGGGTAAAGTAGGTCAAACCTTGTGTGTGTTTGGAGGAAGCTGGGGTGGATGGGTATTTTTTTTTTTCGAGGGTATGGGAGGTATATTTAGACGACAGAGTAAAGCTTGACTCAGATGAGATGAGATGGAGCGTGGGCAGCACCATCTTGGAGGAGTGACATCTCACGGGGAGTGACCTGGACATGGCCCTGACACTGCCAAATTGTGGCTGACAGAGACAAAGATCCACCACATGCACATCCAAGGGCATCCACACACAGACACATTCAATCATTTCTCAGACTGGCTGCACTAAAATAGAAATAAATGTTGCATTGTTAATTCTGTCCCTCATTCCAAAACCGATTCTATGGTCAAGTGGGGTGAACGTGTCAATTTTCAATTGAGAGTTTGTGGCTTGAGTCACAGGAAATCAGTTCTCGGGCGAACTCATTTGCATTTCGTACCGTTGTCATATTGACACACACAAAAAAGAAAAAATAACTTGGATTCAGGAAAACAAATAAAAGCAATGAATGTGGTGGAAATAAATAACTTGAATCTATAATACATACATGCTGATCTTAACCAATAATAAGCCTGCTTAAAAATCTGTTCCACTTGTTCTTGAGTCATTTTTCACTAACGATATAAATGATCAAATCACGTAAAGTTTAAAAAAAAAAAAAAAACACAAATCCTACTTGAGTGTAACCTTGATTATTGCTGCTGTTAGATGTCATCAGTCAAACACACAACAGGCCATTCTCCTTCACTCCCCATCCTGCCTGTTTCCTCATGTGGTCACTCGATATATTAATGTCCTTCCCCCTCTCAAGATTGAAGGCGGTACACGTGAGCGGCGTGATTTGTTCTGAAACCAAATCCACGGTCGCGCTGATGGCCAAAGGCCCCACCCCCATCTGGCCTCGGTGACTTTTAGCATCATCAAACGCATGAAAGAAGAGGAGCAGTTAAGGATGGCGAGGCAGAGCTGCGGTCATGGTAAAATAAACATCCACGAGATTGTGGAATTGAAATCCCAAAGATCCTTCCCCACATCAATGTGCCATTTAGTACGCCGGCACAGCTGAAAGACAAGTCTGATAAGCGTTCCCTTTATTGCATGCGACAATAGCTTTTTTGAGTGTCCAACACAGACGTAACTGTATTTCATTCGAACCGTGCACAAACAGTAACAACCCCACTGAAATGTTTCTGCTGCAAACGTCCTAAACTGACCTCTTAATAGGATCAGTTGGATTATGCTCCTGAATCCTGCCTCTTTCTCCAGCCAGGATCGAGCCCGGCCCAAATACACAAGACCAAAAAAAAAACACAAACACAACATACACACGAAATGGGCAACTCACGTGACATCTCCGGCATAGTGGCGGATCCGGAAGTGCTTCTGGAAGTCCATGGTTTTGTCGGTCGGGGTGAGCTACAAATGCAGAGGTGAAAAGTGGCACTTCTGAGCTCATGGTAGTGAAATACAATTCCCACAACAAACGTCAATGTAAAACATTTAAAGGTTGAGAAGATTTTTTTTTTAATTCCAAGTCTAACCTGAAGGCAGAACATTAGAGAAACTCTGCCCTCTACTGGTAGAAACGCGGAAGTGCACTTTTTGGTGAGTTGGTTTGAAAAGTGTCTTCCGTCTGATTAAGAAGCTTCATTTGGTTTATCTGAATATCGGGCAATTCATTTTTTATTTACGGTTCACTTTATGTGGGGATTCAATGAGGAAAAATATATTTTGTGACACCTGGGTGCAGAACTAATGTGAAGTTTTCCTTGAGTTTGTTTCATTTGTGTTTCGCCAGAACGGCAGTTAACACGATGTCCTGTTTTTGATTTTTCAAGCATTTTCTCGTGTGATTGTCCTCATTAGAACTGCAGGAAAATTTTGACTGCTTCAATCACCCTAACATGCAAGTTTTGGGGATGGGAGACACGGAATGACTCGGTTTTAAGCATATATTTGTGGAAAATAGTGGGTTTAATGCACGGATATTATAGTGAATGGATATTAATGAAACTAAAAGTAAAACCAGGAAAAAAAAAACTTTCAATCATGAACTAAAATGAAAACAATAGATCTTAACTAAGAAAAGTACTAAATTAAAAACTAACACTAAAACGAATGTCAACTAAACTAAAACAGAGCATTTAAAAAAATAAACATGCTCTTAAAAAGAAATGAAAGCCAAGCAAACCGAAAGAACAAATGTCAAAAGCGAAGTCAAAACTAAATATAATAAAATCCCAAACCATGAACAATATCCACCATTTTGAAGCTCTTCTGTCCAATGAGCCCCACTTCAGTTGAGGTCACGCTCTCACCTTTCGGGAGGTGTAGTGGGGGTGTTGCGCCAATTTGATGTCCATGCTGTCCAGGCACACGGTGTCTGTGACTTTCCCGACAGTGAGACAAGCTTCATCCAGAATGGAGATGAGCCCTTTGTGCTGCTGCTCCACGAGGTCGACGATGATCTGGTTGTTGAAGTAGTCAATCTGTGCACGACCAAGATTAATTAATATATGTCAGAGAGCTCACGCTACAGCAAGTTGAATTTATTTTCCTTACGTCTTGCCACTGGATACCCTCTCGCTTATATTCGGCTTGTTCCTGTTGGAGGATCAGCTCGATGAAAAGTTGCTGAAGCTTTTCGTTGCAGTAGTTGATGCAAAACTGCTCGAAACTGGCCCCCCCCCCCAAAAAAAAAAGATGGAACAAACACCCCGAGGCCGCATGAACGTGAATTCGTCACGACCCTCGAATTGCAAGAGGACGAAAAGGACTCCAACCTGTTGTTGTCAAATATCTCAAATCCATAAATATCCAGCACACCGATGACGGTGTTTTTCCCATGAAGCACTGGGTTGTAGTCTTTGACCTCAATGACGTCATTGATGCGGCCGACAATCCACCCGAAAAGTCTCTCGTAGAGAGCCTATACGGTGAAAAAGGGGAAGGTTGATTTAATCCAATCAAATCAATCCATCAATATGACGCACCTTGCTAAAAGCATCCCGCCCAAAGCAGGCCTCCTCTTCCGTGTGCCCCTTTTCAATGACGTCGCCGCCACCGGTGGCCACGGTGCGGTACAGCAAGCTCTTGATGACACCGTCGGCGTCTGTGCCCGTCAACTCTGAGATGTGCTTCACGGCTTCAAGGTCCAAAACTTCAACATTCTCACCCTCGCTCCCAAACTGGACATTACCCTGAAAAAAAAAAAAAAAAACGACAACCGTTAAAATTGTATTCCGCTTCAATCCATGGCAATCCTGTTCTTGAGAAACTTACAAGATGCAGGATGGAAGCTAGAATTTGATAAATGGACTGAATTTCCTTTTTGGAGAAGCCAATCACTTCCAGAGCATGAACGACAGCTTTGTGGCTTGAGTAATCATTGTTGCAGGTCTACGTAAAGACAATGACAAAATGTTAATACATCCAAGAGACGGGACGTTTTCGTTTCTTCACTCCGGTTTCCCTTTGGTTCCCGTTTGTGTGAATTTCTCGACAGATAAAATGTCAAACCCGTCAGACTGAAATGAAATAAACTCACAGTGGCTGCGGCTCCCTCTTTGGTGTACACGTAAGCACTCGGATCGCTTTGCAGGTGACACGAGGCCATCGTTTCCTGCGATCCGCCTCGTAAAAACTGTGACAGCACAACAAATCAAGCGCGCTCTGAATCGGTTTCATACGCCGCATACGGGGTTCGGTCGATTTCAATTCGAACAGCCGCTTCTCAGTTTGTACGAGACATGATGAGACTCCACCTGGTAAAAGGAATGGAAGTTCCTCTCCCCTTGCTGCTGGTGAACAACCCGAGACTTGAGTAGGTCATGCCCCAAAAAAAAAAAAGGAAAAGAAAAATACAGAAATGTTTCGAGACTTGAGTAGGTCATGCCCACAAAAAAAAAAAAAAAGGAAAAGAAAAATACAGAAATGTTCATGACAACAACAGATGTGGGGAAAATACTCTCACAAACATACGAGGCGCTCCTGCTCTCACCTTCTCCAGCAGGTAGTTGTTAATGTGGCCCCCCATGGGATCGCCATTGAAGTTGAAGTTGATGTCCATGTACTTGCCAAAGCGGCTGGAGTTGTCGTTACGATTCGTCTTGGCATTCCCAAAAGCCTCCAGAACACAGTTGGACTTGAGCAGCACGTTCTTCACACTGCATAAGCAATGGGATGCAAATGGAACATAACGATTTGGCAAGTGACACATTATTAGCATTTTATTTGACACGAAAAGAGGACCATCGCCTATTTTTGCTTCAATCCTCACATTTTGAGAGAGCGAATATCTGTTCTTGAGCTTCCGGAGCTTCCACTCCACCATGTCACCAATTTAAGATCGCAATCCAACGTGGCAGCAAGTAATATAGCGGCACAGGAAGGAAGTTGAGATGGTCGCACCGAGTTTGAACTTTGTTATCTTGACTTGTGCGGACAGGTGGAATTTCTTTTTTTTTTTTTTAACTGCCCAATCTTGTCTTACCTTTCAACGTCTGCCCTCTGACTTGGGTTTGTGATAGCTGCAATGTACTGCATGATGTATTTACTGGCTTCTGTTTTCCCTGCACCGCTTTCACCTAAAAAAATAAAAAAAATAAAAAACATTTCCCAACAGTGACTGTGCGAGATTTTACTTGTTTATAGAGTTAAAAAAAATAATAATAAAAAAATAAAAGCATTGCTGTAATAGATTTCAACTTTTATTAGTCTTGAAGGTATGTAATGTTACTTTTCTCATCTACTCACTGCACTTATTTGACTCCAATTGCAAGATGAAGTTTAATTTGATCCCATTTGTGGAATCAATTTGCAAACCACACCAGGAGCCAAAACCGCCGAGTGGTTCGTTTCTTGAAAAAGAAGCTCTTCAGTCGAGAGATGAGACAGCCTATTCATTTCGAAACTGACCTGATATGACAATGCACGTGTCTTTGGCTCGTCTTTTCATGACCTTATAGGCAGCGTCGGACACGGCGTAGAGGTGAGGTGGGTTTTCGTACAGCTCACGGCCACGGTATGCGTCGATGGCGTCTTTCCCGTAGATGTCCATCTGTTTATACGGGTTGACGGAGACCACCACGTCGCCGATGTAGGTGTAGATCCGACCTTTCTCAAACCTGTCTCCACACAAAAGACCGCATGATGTTTCTTTTTCTGTGTGGATTCAGGCATAGGTAAAACACATGCAGGGTGATATTGCATATGGGCAACCTTTTCAACTCCAAAAAACAAAACCAGAATCTGAAATGTGTCCACCCCCGCCAAAAAAATTGGATGTCTCTATACTTTGGTTCCAATAATCCATCTTTGTGTGTAAAGCTGCAGAATACGAATAGCTGGCAGGAAATGGCACAACAGTGAGTGGCGGTAGTCACTGAAAGCAGGAAATGAAAGTTGGGTTGTTAAATCTACTGGCGGGCTCGTTGATTTCATTTTGGGTGAAGAGGCACTTCACATAAATTGCTTGATTAATCAGTTATTGCATTTGTGTCATTGTGGCACGTACAATACTTTCAGCCATTTTCCTTTTTTAATTCGTAATTGTGGCTGTCTGGGATGAGAGAGTATTGCCCGTTCATTAAAAAGAAAAAAAAAAAAGCACAACGCTAAAGCTTGAGCTACGGTTTGAACACTTAAACATGATCTCAAAACTCACCAGACAGGTGAAAAAAAATGACAAGTGGTCTTTGAGCCATGAGTGGCACAATGCAAACTTTTTTTTTTTTTTTTAACATCGAATAGCTTCCTCTTCCTCGCTGCTACCAACACATACCTCAATTTGAGATTCTCCATAAACTGATCCATGGTCACCTCGTCCAGCAGCACAAAGTCTGACTTCCCAAATTCGAGGCCCTCCATCTCTGCCATCCTTTTGCCCCGGATTCAGCAAATAAGAGCAGAACAAAAAGACAGACGTACAGGGAACAGAAAGTGACGGGGATGGGAGGGTGCGTGAAAAAAAAAAAGAGAAGTATGGCTGACTTCTGAGTAGACAGTGATGGAGGCGTGGTCGCGCTTGAGTCATGCAGAGCGCCCGCAAGCGGCAGCGTGTCATCCTGTCAGTCAGCCTGTTGCCTCAAAACACATCTGCGGGAATACATAAACAGCGGGGGGTTATCTTTGAAGAGCAACGCAACTTCTGCATCCTCCTCTGTGCTTTCTCTTCCTGAAAAGCGTCGGAACTGTCACTATCAGACGAGTTTTATGAAAGGCACTTTTTTTGTGGTGAGGGGATAGACTGCTTGACCTTTTCTTGAAAGTCATTTCAATAGGTTAGGCTTTTTTTTTTGTTTTCAGGGAAAGCAGGGCACTTTGTGATCACATGTGCTTTTTTTTTTTTTTTTAAATGATGGAAACATTTCGAGTGAGCACTTAAGTCTACATGATGTACCGGTACTCAGTGAGGCTTTGCTCAGAACGGTGACCAAGCAAATCTTGCCAGGAGAACTGTAAAAAATTGTGAAGTTAATTTGTCACAGCAATATGATTTTGCATTGGAAAAATAGTACAGCACACCACTGGGAAAAAAATGTCACAAAAGGTCAAGGTCTTAAAGGTGGAGTAAAACAAACAAACAAAAACAAAAATACAAATGAAGGTACAGTTTGCACCACAAAACCAGACCACACTTTTGTTTAAAATAAAACCTCTTTTAATTCAAACAGTCTCATTCACAGCTGAAATGAAATATTTACAGTTAAGCTTACAAACAACTTGCACCGTAGAGCACTTCATATCCAAGCAAAATAACTTTTGTTGCGTCGCTGGGCGTTTTGCACCATTGTCTAAAAATGAAAAAGACAGTGGGGAGGGGGGGAAAAAAGGTTGTTATTGAATTTGTGATTATTTCAAATCAGTTGAGAAATATATTTCTAAGATTGTACAAAGCAGGCTTTGCTTCAACCTATAAACTAAATTCTTGAACTCAAGCTATGGAAATGAATGTTGCGGATTCAATTCTTTGCGCTTGCCACTGGAGGGCACCAGACTAGAGTTTGTCTTTTCAGAATGAGTGATTACAAAAAAGCAATACTACATCAAGCATTTGGTATTGCGGCTTCACAACGGTGACCGTTTTGGTCATTGAGTTACTCTTTTAACGTGTCTATTGTCACCAGACAGTAGATCGAACGCATCAAGGTTAGACAGCTTCACATTTGTCGGAGGTTTACCTATAACCCCACTATGAAGAGCCACAGCGGAGCCTCAAACAGCCTCACATCATTTTAGCAGACACTTTAGGAAAGAACGGAGCACGTGCAGGCTCAGTCCTCCATGGAAGGTCTGCAGCAATCATTTCATTAGGATAAAAACAAACACATAAGACCGCACGTGTTGACAAATACCAACCTGACTCTTGTGCTTTTCATCCAAATTCGACACAAGTCCCACAGGTCAGTTGGGACGACTTGCAAACATGGCAGGCGTTTACAGCACCTTGTCAATCCTGTAACATATAGCGCAATGTTAAATTTGATGTGCTATGCCATGGCAAGGACTGGTCTTGCCATGTCTTGGTTCATACAAACCTGATTTTTTTTTCTTCGCCAAGTTCTACACCAGTCCCCAAATGTCAGTCAGGAGGGGTGAGCTTGGTAGGCCATCGTTTCACCTTTTCAGTCATGAAAACCTCGTGCTTTATTAAATCTGGTGATTTGAGTCCTAAAACAGAAGAACGTGGACATGAACGCCAGGTTAGCAACATTCAGGCAAAACTCTGAAACAGGTTAGAGCTTGTAGGAGGTTTACCTATAACCCTACTGTGTTGTTCCACAACAGGGCCTCAAACGGCCTCAAACATCTCTCTAGCAGACTGTTATAGAAAGAGCAGAGCCAACGCTGGCTGAGTCTCGATGCAAGGTCTGCAGCCATACATTGTTTTGTAAAATGCCTAACTGCCATTTCAATAACTTAAAAAAAAAAAACGAACTGCACGATTCTACGCCACATCCAAACAAGGACAACTATCTTACCAGACTGCGTCGGTATCAGTCGTCTGCTGAAAAAATGTATGTGAAACAACACACCAAAATACAATTCGAAAAATTGAAGCCATGTTTCGTTTTGATGATGTCGGCAAGCATAGTACACGCCAGATAGGCACAAATCAACTACATAAAACAATACAACTACGCTTCACACACCTTTAAAGTTAGTTTCTACTCCTGTAAGGAAACATAACGTAAAACATTTGATAATTTAAGAAGGATGACAGTGGATTCCTGAAGTAAAGTGAAGTACTCGCCATTGTACAAGGAAAGAACGTTAAGATTAGCCGGATGTGACATATTCTACGTAATATTACCGTTCTCCCAGCAGGGGGCAGTCAAGCAACACGGAGGGCTTGCACATGAGACACGGGAGTATGTAAATGGCCAGAGTGTTCTCGGTTTACGACGGACCTGCTATGCTTACGCAGTAAAAAGCCATTGGTACAGGAAATATTTGTCTAGGAAAAACACTTCTACGTCATGAATGCAAAACAATCAAACGAAAAACAGTAAGAGGGGCGGTAACTGAGCGTGCCTTCTAGCGCAACGTGACGACTGCACTTATTTTTACTCAAACTGGAAAAGTCGTCCTGTACAGTGAGAAAAACAGGTGAAAATGTTTCGTAGCCTTGTTAACAGGGGATCTGTGTGACCAAAGCTTGAACACAATGCGTTTTTTAAAAACACAGATATTATGTAGGCTGTGGTAACCAATTCCTATGTAGGAGGGCTTTCATAACGCAATGGACAGCCGTTGCTGGTGGGTGTTGGCAGTCCTCCTCGCCGGTACTCGTGGTCCGTGACTCACACCGTATTAGTGCACCACAATAAAGGCCATAGAGAAACAGATAGCTTCAAGATCAATTACCGCATTGTTTCCCGACAGTGACGATAACCACTTGCTCAGCTGACATTCGATGTATTCGGAAGAACACGGACAACCCACCCCTGTTTGCACAAAACCAGCAACCAAACAAATATTTGATCGGAAGGTCATCAGACGCGTGCATGTTGTCGGTATTCTCGTCATGCGTATGTTCTATGAACACCATGCTATTCTTCATTCAACGGGTTATGCCACATAACAGGGTTCCAAAATGCATTAACTTCACCGCAATGTGTCTAGCCAACATTTGACCAGTAACGTTTTAAGATAAGCGGCCCCCTGATTCTGATTTCAGGGATAATGAGCGCATAATCCTTTTCACCTGATCCTTGGCCACAAGAGCGAGGTGGAAAATTCCTTCAACTTCATGTTGTGTGCGCTGGGGGCCTCAAAGTATCCCGTCAGCTTCACACAGTTTATCTATTCGGTATCAGCCTTGAGGTTTGCTGGCTGTACTCAATGTCCACAACATTAGGTACACCCTGATTATATTCTGCTCTCTACAACAAGCAGCATAAGAATATGCATGACTGCCGTTGTAGTTTGCAGTGTACGTATAGAACAGCACTAAATCATACCGAAAGGTGCTGACAGTGTTAATCCAAACGGCGCATTATGAAGCATTCCACAGGCAGAATATTTAATAAAGCCCCTGTAACTACATTGGACTGACTGCCTCAGACTTGCTCTTTGCTAGCATTTGATTCCAAAGAGGAAAATTACTTTTTGTGTTTGCGGTCAATATCAATCAGGCCGATACAAATTCAATCAACTCCCTGTCAACCCGGGTAAAAAAAAAAAATTGATACAAATTCAATCAACTCCCTGTCACCCCGGGTAAAAAAAATCTCTCTCTGCACAAGCCAGAAATGTCTTTTTCGGATCACGTTTGATTTGTGACTTCATGCATTTTACATCGAGCGTGTTCTGGTAGGTATGCACGATTATATAGGAGTATGAATTTACCGCATTTGTTGTGCTGCATGTACTGTGTATGTTGATTTATGTACGTGCATGAATGTATGAAGATATGTACAGATTAGGAGTGTTTTTATACACGTGTGTGGCTTTGCAAGGCTTTAAAATCGGATGTGGCTAATAAATGGAGTAACTTTGCAGACGTCACGAGAGTGCAAACGCATCTTTCAGGCGTTCCCCATTTCCTGTACTGTCATCTTCTTTAAAAATAACCTCAGACTAAGACATGGTCAGGAGTATGACTAAGCAAAATGTTTTACTTTGACTTTTACAATGCTTTGTTTGGATTTCCCAATCTAAAGTCCTGGAATTTTTTTCTTCTTACCAGTAAGGTTTTTTTGCAGGGGGGGTTACACGTAGTTCAGGAAATGTTTTGTTCTTGAGCAAATAAAAATGGAACATGCCGTTATTAAGCAATAAAAGTGCTTTTATGATGAGCTATCAGACGTATATTGTACCCTGCTCAAACATCTTTTGCAAAAGTTTGCCACTTTAACGCGGATTGCTTTATGGTCACGTTTTACAGCTTTTTCCACTTTGGCCTGCATTTGCTAATTCGGGAAAAAAAAACTGCTATTGATTGCAGTTGTATTTTTCCCACCTTTGTGTGCAAGCAAAATTGAATTCCGAATGTGGCTCTAGAACATTTGTGACTTTTGTCTCATTGCGGGTCACATGCAGGGCAGACGGAACATTACAAGACGCGATATGTAGAAAGATCCTGAGGTCAGAGCGAGCTCTTATCTGCATATGACACAATAAAAACCAAATCAATTAATCAGTTACATCATGTGCTCCCATACTGATTAGCCGGAGACATTTAATACAGAAATGATACTCTCAATTTTCTATTTTAAGTGTCCCAGGAGTGAGACTGAACCAAGTTAGAATAACATGAAATATTCTACATCATCTCCAGACAGGTTTAAAACTGTATTATTATAGGCGTGATGTATTTCAATTTCGGATCCTGTAACATATTACAAAAAAAAAAAAAAAAATCAAGAGGATCAGCAGTAAAAGGTTAAAGCTTTCCTCATTCCATGACTGTGACTGCATGAGACAGGCAGTAATTGTGAGGTAGATATGAGGAGGCAGAGGTCCCACAATGCACAGCTTCACAGTGGGTCACGTCACATGGAGGAGGTCTGGGACAGAACATTCTGATGTGCAACCAGAGGGGGGAGAGGGGGTTATAATTGGTCGTCTGTTTCTCGGCCTACCTGTGGGTGTTGTTGGAACTTTTTGGCCACGGTGTAACCGCTCGATCTCCTGCTATGAGCGAAGCCATTTGGGGCTTTCATACTGCCCATATCTACACAGGGGCCTGACTGGGAAAAATCAATTAATTGTTGCTAATGGTCACAGAGAGAATTTTCCGCTGATGGATTTAATCCTTTTACAGTATACTCATTGTCGACTGTGGGGTGAGGAGGGTTCATTGTTTCACCAGCCGCACAGTCATGCGCGAGATGGGCAGTTCGTAAACGTTTGACACCAAGCAACACCTAAAAAAAAATTCTTGGCGCTCCAAATACCACCGTTGTCATCTAAATACAGTGGTATAGTAGGCCCAAGTGTGAGGCAAAGGCAAGGCCTCTTTGTTAAGCTAGCTCGGTGTTTCTCACTCACTCCCAAAGACGTTTTTAAACGTCTTTTCAGACTTGGTTTAGAATTGGCTGGGACTGAATGAGTTTTAAAAATAAAATATTCAAAGAGGTTTACAAACAAAAAGAATTTGGGAAATTTTAAATTGAAGGGGTTGGGGGGAAGAGTTGAAGACATTTAAAATCAAAAGGAAGGAAGTCAAGAGTAGTTTATTAAAATTTGAATTAATGTCACCACAATAGCAGTTTTTAAACTAGTTTCCCCATGCTGTGGGTCCAAGCGATTGATCAGAGGTCTGCAACCAAACAAAACGCATTCTTACACGTCACGACTGATTCATCTAAAGATTGTCGTCACTCCAAAACGCTTTTTCAATCGTGAACTGCTTCAAATATTCGGCCAAATAATCAAATAAAATCGAGCTGAGAGAAGAATACTGTACGTGAGCACAATACCATTGACTAATCTAAGCAGAAAACGCGGATTGGTGGAACATGGGCTTGGTGAATTACAAAGCTAATTTTGAAGAGACGGCTAAAGCCGCACTAAGACGCCTTTAAGTCCATTATCTGAAGCCAAAGTCACACAGAATTACCTTCTCAGGCGAACTGAGCTGAGAGACTCCTGAACAAGCTTTCCAGTTTGATTTTGCCAGGGAGCAATAGGAAATGCACAATCTAAAACAAGAGAAGTATTCATTTAACAACACGCTTATAGTTTTGGGTAGCTCTGGTGTGAAACCCGCGCCGCAAGGATACTCGCTATCTTACTATCACGTGGGCAGTGATGCAAGAGGTCAAACGCAAGGTGTCATCTCGAAGTGAGGTTGTCTCCCTTGGGGGGGTCCTCCCAGCAGTGGACGAGTAAGAAAAGCAAATAACAGCAGATGTCTGAAGTTAGCGCCCGCTGAGATCTGCTATAATTAGACTTCAAACATGTTTGCAGGCGGCCATATTCGACATCAGCGATGGTGGCGCAAGAGCTGTTCCGAGTAATTTGTGACCTCGGAATTCTGCCTAAAGCACATCGCTGAGCCTCTATAGAAACATGACACACTTGTTTTGTGCAAATTGCTCAAATATTTGCCTCCGGTTGCGTCTTGCCCGGTTTTAGGGGTCCGAAACGCATTCAAATTTCAACAAAACCCAAAAAATGCACAACGAAATAGCGAGAGTCCAAACACGCCTAACTAAAATCCACGACAACAAAAAATACTCATGAAACCGGAATCTAAACGGACACGAGCGACTCGGAACACGACCAGGAAGCTCTCAAAAATAACAGTTGAGGCGGTACAGTGAGCAAGGTCAATAATCCGACAGTGACTTGGAAACTTGCCAATCCTTAAATACTTGGCAAAGCTTTGATTGGGAACAAGGAACAGGTGCGCCTGCTGGAGGGGAACGCCCTCCACACCAGCTCGAGTTGGAACCAAACAAACAGGACCTGGCACTGTTCGGAAGCATACATTTCAAATGCATGGTTTTGGTTGGAGATTAATGTTTGACTAGTCCCTTCAGCCATGTCCTATTTCTTTCATTCCTTTTTGAAAATGTTGAAATGACAAAAATATCTTCATTGGTTGTGTCATTCCCCACAGCGCTTTGAGCTATCCTCGACTCTGAAATGGTTTTTCACCAGAAACTTGTTTTGGCTTTGTAAAAAAAAAAAAAAAAAAATGCTGGAGGCTTTTTTTCTCTCTCTGCTGCTGCTGCATATTTATCACTTCTGAGTATTCAGTGACATTTGAATCCTGCTGCAGAAGCGAAACCGTATAAATGACTTTCAACAGGATTTGGGTCGAATAAAACACGAGACCTGTGTTGTGATCCTATACAGCCTCCTTTCGTTCATACTCCTTTGCTCATTCATCCATTCATGATTAAGCCCTCCTGCACTAGTATCATCACTCCCCTGCAACGCTTTATCTGCTGTTTAAGATCCAGGATGAAAGGGGATTGATTTTTTTTTCCCTTCCCCAAAATGAGTTTTGTTTGGAGAATTAATACAAAGAATCATGCCACTGACAATGCACAAATCCTTTCTGAACCCTGACACCTGAAATATCACTCCTGTTCCAACCACTGCTCCGACGTGCTGCTAAGCGTCGTTCCAGCTTAACGGGCCCAAAAGGTCACTTTTGACTGAAGTTTCCAAAGAAGGTTACACAAGGATGGCAAGTGGAGGGGTGGGGGGGGACTCATCTCATTATATAACTGTCTTGCAGGATGTTAGCATAAGTCGTCTCATGTGGCCTGCTCTGGAATGCATGTGGCTAAAGTTTTGCCACGAGT